AGTATTAGATCCACAAAATGATTCAGTAGGATAGTCATCTGGAAATACCCAACAAGATAAGATTTTTTCTTATCTATCCAGAAACTTTTCACTATACTTGCTTTATATCTTTTAATTGAATCAATATCATTTGTTTGTAATCACACTTTACAAATTCAGTCATATTACCACGACAAACAATGTTAATAATATGATTCTCTAACTTTCTTTCATGACATTGTGGACATTCTTCCATTACTCCAAATTCTAACATATCAGCTGCTGCATCATACAATATCTCATTATCAATTTTTTCTCCATAAATAATTCCATTTTCTGTTAATAATTCTCTGAGTAATTTTGCTTGTACTTCACTTAATTTATCTTTTGCCTTCCAAAATCTTTCATTCTTTTTTTTTATTTTTTCTATTTTGTCTGTTGCAATTGGAACATCATCTTCTACAATTGTTTTAATATGAAGTATATCATCCCATCTAAGTTTTTCCCATCCTTTCATTGTTGATAATGGAGTACTTTTGAAATTATATTTATTTTCTATACATTCAAGATGATTCCATTGTACTTCTATTCCATCATGGAATCTTGATTTAGTTTCTCTACCTACTTTTATTTCTCCTTGTTCAATAACATCACCACATGTCTTACATTTTCCTCTACTTGTTTTTGAATATTGAAATTGGAATGAGAGATTAGCTGCCATTTATTATTATTTTCAGTTCATTCTTCCTTTAAATATTATTTCTTTTTATTTATTCGATTGTATTTTCTTTTTTTTTCTCTCTTATTTTTGAGTTTTTGAGTTATTTTTGTAATTTATCATTTTTGTTATATATAACGAAATATATCGAATATTTTATGTTATTAGTAATGGTGTTATTCTTATATATGTTACAATTACCAACACATCATAAATGTCTAGTTCTTTATGATATGTTTACTTTTTATTAATTATTTGTTGATTCAATACAATGAACATTTTATTATTTTAATTTCTTATTTTGAATTTATCAATTTCATTTTTATTAAATATTAATTTCATTTTATTTTCTCTTGTTTTATTCTCTATTTATTCATCATTCTTATATTTATTTGATATTTTAATTTATCACATCTCCAGATATATTAAATTATTAATTCATGTTTATCAATTTGTATATTTTTATTTATAATATAATTTAATATTATGTGTTCAATTGGTGTGTTATTATTCACTATATTTATTGTTATTTATATTTTCTTTTTCTTGATTCTTTCATCTATTCATCTTGCTCTTTTATTCATTTCTATACATACTCTTCTTTATTTATCTTTATTCCTCTTTCTTCTATTATCTCTTTAATTTCTGTAATATCTAATTTTCATTTTAATATTTATTATATTTAATCATAATAATAATAACTTTTTATCTTATTTTCTTCTAGTTCTGTTGTTCATTTGTTCTTTCTTCATTATTTATTTATCTCTTCTTTTTCACTTTATTTCTTTTTCATATTCTATTTCAATTTGTTCTTTTTCATATCTTTCTATTATTCTTTATTCTTCTGTTTCTTGTTCTTGTATTCTTTCATTTATTATTTCTTCTTTTATTATTTCTTCTTTTGTTTTTCTTTCACTATCTTTTCTATTTCTTTAAATCTCTTCATCATTTTTGTATTATTTTCTTGTTTTCTTTTGTCTCTCCTTCATTGTCTTTTCTTGTAATATCTTTTGCTTCTATATCTTTTACCTTGTTTATTCTCATAATAATATTGATTAAACATTTTACCTGTATTATGGTATTTGTGGTTATATTAATTACTTTTCTTTTTTATTATAATTGTGTTTATTTATAAATGATATTATATGTATAATTATGATAATTATTATTAAAGTGATTATGGATATTATTTCATTAATATATTGTAGTTATATCATGATAATATCTTCTAAATCTATTTGTTGGTGTATATTTATTTCTATATGATTTTCGTTACATTCTTATACTACATAAATAAACTAAACTGATAAAAAAAATTAAAGAAATAAGAAATAAAATAAAGATATTTCAAAGTAATTTCAATAAATGAGCTAATAAATACACATGGCACTAATTTAGTTAAAGAATTAAAAGTCGAAATTTACAATATAAAAAGTCAACAATTTTGTAATTAAAAATATAATGGATATCATGAAATAATGTCTCTATCACAACCATTTCATAAAGTTAACTAAAAACAAGAATGATGTATTCTCCATCTGGTTGAACAATATAAAACAATCTATCAATATTTAATTAATTTATACTGTGTTGTGTAGTTTTTTATGAATTCTTCTATCAATTTCTTAATTCTTTATTCTCATGATTTCATTCTCATTTCTTCTATTTATCATATAGATAATATTCAAATCTTATTATTTTCATCTTTCATGTATATCTCATTTAATTTCATTTAACAACAATAATTAAATAACAGTATTATATGTTAATCATTCAAATAATGATAATATGAATTTTATAGTTTTCAGTTTATAAAAGTTATGATAAAATGATAAATGAGAGTAATGAAATAAACTTAATCATTTTATTTAATTTATTATCTAATCAAGTTATTCAAATTATTCAATGAAATATATTATCATTGCATTTCTTCTGTTTTGTGTTTACCATTTTAATCAGAATATTATTTCATATCTTTTAAAATCAATGAATAAATAGATAATTATAATTTCATTCTTATTACTTTATAGTTTTGATGTATGAAATGATAAAATAATATAATACATTATTAAAATATTAAAATGTTATAAAAATCAAAATTTAATGAACTTAAAAATAGATAAAAGATGAAACGTAAAACAATAACAATGATAATTGATATTGAATATGATGAAATGAATGTGTATTTGTATGATGGAAATGGATATGAAAGAATTGATAGAATGAAATATTTAAAAGAAGAAGAAAAGAAAATAATTGAAGAAATCATTTCCAATGATGAGAAGAATGTGAAAATTAGAAAAGAAAATATTAAAGGAATAGAAATGATGATTAAACCAGAGAGTAAATTAACAATGATATTCAATAATATTAAGAAAGAAGTAGAAAAGAAAGGAGAGAATGAAAGAACAATCATTTGTATTCCTAATGGAACAAGTCAAGGAAATGAAAGAAGAATAGAAAATTCAACAAAACTGGGAAGATTAAATAATGTACAAATTATACGGAAATATCATATAATTGAAAGAATACTTTCAGAAGCATATAACATCGAAACACCAATTCTTATCATAGAAAATACAGAAATAATATATGGAAATATTAAAAAAGAAAAAGATAAGATAAAAATAAGAATAATAAATAATATAAGAACAAACAATAGAATAGAAGGAAATAAAGAAATCAATAGAATAACAACAGAAGAAAAAGAAGAGAAAGGAATAATAATAAATAATAAAATAAAACAAGAAAAAGAAAACAAAATAAACACAAAAAGATGGAGATATAAAGAAATCAACGAAGAAACATATATTAAAACAATAATAGAAATAATAGAAAAAGAAGAATATTCAGAATATTCATCAGAAAGAGAAATGATAATAAATATCAAAAGAATAATATATAATAATAAAATCAATAAAGGAATAATTGGAAAAAGAAGAATATGATATAATGAAATAATGATAACATCAATGTATTTTAATGATATTAATGATTTTATTAATTTAGAAATTGGAGTTAAAAGATTTCAAGGAAATATGGAACGATTTCATTTTAATCTATTTCATTTAAATCATTATTCAAGGAAAATTATTTCATAATATTGAAACATTTCATATTTATAATAAATATGATGAAATATTTGATGATGGAAGAATAAATAAATATTAAATTCAACATATTTAAAATAAAAAGAAGAATGAAATATATTTAAAATATAGAATACACAATAGAAGATAGAAATAAGTAATGAAATAGAATACTAACAGAAGTTAAATCACTTGATAAATAGTAATTTTAAATAATATTTTAGAATAACAAGAAATTATTAACAATATTAAGTATTAAAATAAGGAAGTGTTGTTTTAAAATATGTTCATCATTAATATCAATTAATACACAAATATCAATGAGTGAATTTAGTGTTGTTTTAGATAATTGTGTTCATTAAGTGAAATTAATATTAACAATAATAGTAGAATTATGATATAAATAAATTGATTGATTAGAGTATTAAATAATATCATTAACAATCATCAACAAATAAATAAGAAATGAATGTTTTTATAAATACACAACATAATAATAACTAACACATTAATGAATGAGTATAAGTTATTTTGAATAAATCAATAATATCATCAAATTGAATATTTTAAAAGATGAAGAAAAGAATTAAAGAATAACCACAAGAAATTATAATAATGAAATAAAGTAATAATGAATTGAAATAAATAAAACAATTGATGTTTTAATAAAGAATAAGAGAAATAAAGAAAATAGAAATAGAAAAAATCAAAAGAGAAGAAGCAGAAAACAATAAATAGATAAAATAAACAAACAACAAACAAAGAAATAGAAGAAACAATAAAAACAAGAATAGAAATAATTTTAAGAAAATAGAAATAAAATGAATGTAATTTAACTAGAAGATAAACATAAAATAATATAAAGAAAGTATAATAATGAAAAATTAGAAATATAAGAAAGATAATTAGAAAGAAGAGAAAAATAAGAAT